AGAGAGAGAGAGAGAGAGAGAGAGAGAGAGAGAGAGAGAGAGAGAGAGTATGGAGGGGAGCTTATCGGGACTTACCTGTCGGCAGGGGTGATACTGGAGCTGCAGTTCATATCAGAAGGCTGAAGGGAGGCAGTTGCCAACCTCCATACCCAAGCTTTCATGCTGGAGGTTGAGCAGACCTGTCTGCCACCTGCAGACTCTGAGAGACTTTATTACTGTCTTGAGGGAGCGAGATTGCACACTGAGGTGGCGAGTTGTGGGAGGAGGTCCTGGAGGTGAAGGCCTAATAGGAAGAGCCGTTTTTCAATTGTATATTGATTATTAACGACTCTATCTTCCTTTGCTTGACTGCTTCTCTACCTTTGTCTCACTCCTGGAAGTTTTGGTTGCTTGCTCCGTATTCTGGGACATCATTCAGTGCTTTGTGATTTATTCCTTTTTTCCTTCTTTTAACGCTTTGTGACTTACTCTGCATTGCGATTGGTTCAATTTTGAGGACATTAAGACAACTTGCATATGCCTGCTGTGGAAACTTCTCACTATAATTGTCATGTTCATTGCAAACCGAAGGCCTAAAGGGGCAGACGTGAAACTGTGGGTCTCCTTCGGTGGTACAGGCTGCTGAGCGGCCTGAGCCGCTACACATAAGAATTGGTTTACCTCTGTTGGGGGGGAAAGAGAAACAAGTAGGGGCGCGCAAAGCCTGCGGTGAAGGCAAAAAAAAACACTAAAAGCCAGTAAATGGCACTGCCCTCATGGCGCCAGTTTGGAATGGCAATTGCAGACTTTGCAGTCAAAACAATAGACCCCTTGGCCTTCTCCCCCCTGGCACCACGGCCCACACCTGTAGTTATGACACATGTGTGTCTGTCATGGTCGTGGTACTTTCATTGCTTTTTTTCTTAACTCGGCGGCTGTTTGTTTTGCTGGTGCATGGTTTTTTTCCCCCTTCAAAACTCTGCTGTGATATATCAAGGTACTTGCCCCCCCCCAAAAAAAAACTATGGCACTTTTTGTATGTGTGCTCTGGATTCTTTTCCTTTTTTATGAAGGACTGTTTGGCTTTGAACCTGTGGCAATTCCTTTATTTTTTAAGGAGGGTTGGGAATATCAGGACGCTGAGGACAGCAGCCTGGTTTTGGTCGTCTCTGTCTCTGGAGATATTCCCCAACGCCTGAACCGAAGCTGGGTAATGGTTCCAAAATTTAGTTTCTGGATTGTTTGTGAGGTGTTCCGGGCCTCCCTCTTGTTGATTTTGAAACGAGAGATGCTGTTCCTGTAAAAAGAACGAAAAAACAAAATGATTTCTCATCTAGGCTACCAGTGGGGCTGCCCGGGTCAACCTTCTTTCCCGGGCGGCGCGGCTGTGCAAGGCGGGGATTCGACGGGGAAAGGCCCTAGCAAAAAATAGAAAAAAAAATAAAAATAAAAATAAAAATCGGAAACAAATTATGTTATGCAGAAAAATAAACTGAACAGCTTTAATTGGGAAAAAAAAATTAAAAAAAAATAAAATTAATTTTTATTTTTTCATTTTTTTATTCTATTTTGGCCCGGCTGGGCAAGTGGTCCCTGGCCACTCTGTTAGCCTAGTTTCTCATTCATTTTTTGAATTTTGTTCTTCTTCTCCACTCATGTCATGTTTCTTCTCTACTCTTTCCTCTTCTCCTTCTTTCCCTACCTCTTCATGTCTTCTCTGGAGACAATTGTTGGGTTTCGATTCTTGGAATATGTATTCTTCCTCCTCCTTCTTTTCCCTCCCCTTCCTCTACTACCTTGTCACTTCATTGGAAATAAAAGCCAGGGTTTATGCAACCTGTGCAGTAAAACCTATGCTACTTCAAGGTGAAAAAAAAAAGGCTACATAGGCAATTTTTGTATGGTAGTATGGTAGTAGGGGACTTGTCTTTTGAATCTTGTCTTGGCTGTTGTTTTCTGTCCCACATCTTTTCTTTTTTCTTTTTTCTCAATAAAGACACTACAGATAATACTAGGCAGAGTGATACGAGCATCCCTAGGAAGTACGCCTGCTTGGGTCACTCCATCTATTGGTGGGGAGCTGCACCTGCTGGAAAACGTGTCCAGCGTCCCTTTGCATTACTCCTTTGACAAGGTAAGTTAGGGTCCAGGTGAAGCGAAGCGATTTGGACAAACGAATCCGGTTGATTGCATCAATCAGATTCCCCTGCCCCCCAAGTTCCTCATGACAAACACGGGTCTTGACATTGCCAAAGACCCATAATGATTCTGCTGCATTCAAGAAAGGGGAGTATGGAGGAAGGCAAAGACAAGTGTGCCCGGCTTCCTCTATCGCCCTCTGCACATCCCCACTACGATGAAATGGAACATTGTCCATGATGATCGCCTTGGGTTGGTCCAAGGCAGGTAGGAGTTTGATTCTCTATGAAATTTACGTACGTGTCAGCATTCAAGTTGAACGTGTCTACCCTGATTTCAATAGCTATCAAGCCATCTATTTCGACCGCAACAACCGAGGAGAAATTTCTACCCCTCTGTGTAGCTCTAACGGCCACTGCCCTTTCACCTTGCCACGCTCTTCCAAACCTCCGAGTGAGATGAAGGTTGAATCCTGCCTCATCTGCACACACTGCATCGAGCATAGATATACCCAACTCCATTACTCCCTGCATCCATTCTTGCCGTTCCTGTAATCTTTCTTCGCAGTTGTAATCGACAGGCTCCCTGTGAAGCAGCTTCAAGGAGTAACCTGCTTGGCCACAAACGGCTCGAGAGACAGTGGACAGTGTAACTGGCTGTCGGAACTCAAACTCTGCGTTGAGTTTGTCGCAAAGCTCTTGGATCGTGCAGCTTGGATTCAAATCCAGCTGTTGCTGGAGCCACTGGATATGTTGTTCGCCGAGAATAGGAAACACATTCCCTCCTCTCCTCTTGGTTGTCTCTGTGCCATCATTAGCCTCGAACGTGATAACGATGTTGTGCACAGTACTGCGTGGAAACCCATAGCGCACTGCAGTCTCTGCAATCGTTTTGCCTTCAACGAAGATAGACTCGATATCTTTCGCCTCTGAACATCGTCAGTGCCGTTGTATCTGCCTCGCCCGCCTCTAGTGGACATACCCGTGCAAGACCAGAGACCCAGGCACGTGAACACACAACGCCCGTGCGTCGATGCTCGGCGGAAGTGAATGCGCGTTGATGAATGCACGCAGCACACGCGGGAGTGCATGCACGTGGGTAGCCATACCTAGGTGGATGTACGCAGGACACACGATTTTCTGTGGGGCCCACCAATTTATGCGCTCGTCAATCTAAATCGTTCCTTCGTTTGACGGAGGGCATAGTGTATTCGTCGAAGTTTCTAGAATACTTGTACATATCGGTTCACAAGATGTCCTATTCTGATCTACCGGTCTAAGAAGCTTCTACAAGAATCTAAAATGCTTGGACTACATGGCGGATTCCAATCTACCGGTCCAAGAAGCTTCTACGAAATTCCAAATCGGCTCGCCGTTTCTCTAACTTAGGCGCGTTGACCTAACTGCCAGTCCAAGAAGCTTCTTCTAAAGTCCAAATTGGTTCGTCGTTGCTCTAACTTCGACACGTTCAGTGCGTCATTCACCTAAAAAAATCCAATATGGTATTGTTTTTGGCGAGAATCTGGTAGGGCCTGCCCATTTCGGTTCATGATATGTCCAAATACTAATGGCAAATAGCGGCAGTATGCATCTAACTTACCTGGTCAAAAGAGTATAACCAGTGTATACGCCCGTACGTACACAGGCCGTACGTACTCCCATACGACCGTACGTACATGCCCCAGACACCCGTACGGACCGTACGTACGGACTTCGGGTCTTCCGTACGCGGTCTTGGAGGGGGGGTTCAGGAGTGTTTTTCGGGTGGGTGGGTGTCGGGTGTCGGGGGGAGTCCATCTGCAAAAAAAAAAACAAAAAAAAAAAAACAACTTTTTTTTTGTCCCCGAAACAATTTTAGGCGGGGGCCGAACGTCATCGGGTTCGGACCCCGTAAGGGACCACGAACGCCCGCACATACGGAGGTCTGTTTGGGGAACTCCGTACGTACGGACTGGTGACGCTATATATATATATATATATATATATATATATATATATATATATATATATATATATCCGAATGACCATTATTTGGGCAGGTCTTGCTTTAGCATCCCACATGGCCATTTCGTCCCTCACGCTCAATCGTTCAAAC